CTTTGACCAACTGGTCAAATTGGTCAAACTGGTCTGGTCAAGCTTGACCATTGACCGGTCTGTGCCAACTCTGATTATATAATATATATATATAGAGCATATTTAATTTAAAACATTTAGTAGTTTCTGTTCCATCATCATAAATATATAAGCGAAAATATATGATAATTCATTTAAACTAAAAATAAAATTTGATAAACTTCTTATCAGTTTTTATATGTCGTTTACACAATTTGTCAGTTTGTAAATAGTTTACAGGTTCTTATCAAACTTTTATATTTATTACTCTATAAGTTTTCAATTATCACAATATTTCGATTATACATTTTCATTAATACGATCCTTTTACACAAAAATCCAAACCATTTTTAATAGTTACATAAACGTAAAAAAAAAATTTTAAATTTAACAATCATCTACATATAAAACAAGATGAAATTTTAATCTAAATTTAAATAAATAGTTCGTAAATGTCAAATATACTTGATTTCGGAGATTATTTCTCCTACTCGTCCCAACCACCACGTAGAGGTCCAACCCAACTCTCCCAATGATGGAAGTAGGTTGTTCCGTCTTGAATTCTTAATACTTTTAAGTATTTCATCAAAAGGCTTTAACTCCTCATTTATTTTTACCTCGAGAGTTTAGAGGTATAGATGAACTCCTATCTCAAGTTTTACGACTGCTCAAGCAAAGGCACATAACCAGTTCCTTCTCTGGAACCAGTAGATCTTAAGCAAAACACAAAAAAACTTGAGAGTAGAACTTCGGACCGCCCTAGTTCGAATATATTTGTCAGTTAAAAAAAAATATAAATAAATAAATATTACCTATCGATACGCAGAAGTATTGCGATCGCGTCAAGAGGTTTGTTTTGATTGTCGTGATCTTCAGTCAGGTGATTTTTTTCCAATTAGATCGAAGCAGGGACAGTGATTTTCTGTGGTGGCCAAGGCTAAATTCTGTATGTGGTTAAGATAAATTCTGTGATTTGATGTGATAACTTTTTTAAAAAATTCTGTGCAATTCTGTGGTAGGGATGACGAAATTCTGTGATTTAATGTGATGATTTTTTAAAAAAAATTCCATGCAATCCCGTAAATTATGTGATAATATAGTATTTATTATCTGTTATATAATTTTATATTTATACGTATACTGATTTATTTATATGTATTAGAACTATAAATCTACTAAAAAAATTAATTTTTCAAATAATGGTAATAATAATTTTTTTAATTATAAAGCATAATTTTATAAAATTAAAAAAAATTACTCATCATTAAAACATTAAAATATAACATTTAGATGCTTTAAAGAATCAAGTGAAAGATTTTGATAATCGCATTCAACCCTACAATTAGAAGCTGGAAACCATATAGTTAAGTGCAAGTTTTGATAAATTCGGCGAAATTAACTGCATTCCAATCCAATATCCGCGAAGATTATTTATTTCATTAATTAATTCGTTTGCTGATAGGTGATTTTGATCCGTGTATGATATAAATGCCTCTTTTTGATTGGTTAATAATCATGTGAGTGTGCATAACTCACATTTTTTTGAAATTCTGTGACATTCTGTGGTGACTAAACATAATTTCTTTATTTGACTGTGATTAAGAGAAATTCTGTGGTGTTCTGTGAATTACAGAAAATCACTGTCCCTGGATCGAAGGAGCAGGTATAACATGAAAATCACGTATTTTTGTTTTTTTCAAAAGATCGAAATTTTGTCTATGAAATTGCCTTCTGCGTTCTAACAAAAAAATTCCATGCGAAATTTTGGTATAAACTATGCCCTCTCTTGGCCTTAATCCTAACCTTAAAGATATAGTTTATCGATTTAAATCTTTCGCTTAATTCAATTGTTTTAATTTTCACGTTACCGGAAATTGTCTTTTTTTAATTTACTAAAAACACGTTGCAACATTAATTATCCAGGGAAGTAGTAGACCAGATTTTGTGTGTTTATGTCCTCATCAACCAATATATTACTTTATTTTTAACCACGCTCCGGATATCTATTTTCCTAGTAATATTTAATCATCATATTACGTACATATCTATATTACCTGTTTATAATTATATCAATATGATAAGGTGTAATAAATGAGTGTCGCTAATACTAAGGCGTAAATAGTCGATTTGCATTAGTTGATAAAATCGACTTAGTCGATTAAGTCCAGTGTTGTCAAATGTCTTGCATATTGGTAATTGTCGCATCCATTATATAATAAAATGATGTGACAATTACCAATATGCAAGACATTTGACAACACTGATTAAGTCAGTCGATTTTTTGAAAAATTGACTTAGTCGATTCTTGATTAAGTAGGAAAACTAGACAATCAAACAATTTTGTAATAATGAATTGATAGCAAATTCAGGAGATATACTAATACATACATACCATACCATTAACTCTTTGTATAGCCGATTTTTAAATTTTGGCTTAGTCAAATCGACAAATTTGGGTCGACTACAAACATCTTATTTATGAATATACTCGACTTAAACTCGTTTATTATCATGTGTTTTTAATTAACCAATCAGAGTCATCTACTCGAACATAGTCGGCTAAGCCGATTTTTAAATATCGGCTTAGTCATAAATAACAAACAATAGCGCTAGGCATAACCGTTAACATCAAGGGATTCTAACAATAGAAGTCTAAAGCGGAGTAAATTCTTATAATATCTATTTTATTGAAATATACATTTTATTGAATTAACTTAGGGTTAAGGTCGTCTTATATTAAGGTTAGGTTATATTTTAGATATATAAGCAAAATTGTCTTCCCGACACTTTTAATTAACCTACCCAAGGTAGGTTTAGACTGCTGCTTTTTTCGTTTCTTGTTTTGCTTCGCCGGCGATCATTCGCTTTAGACGACCCCTAAAAATAGATTATATTCTATTTTTAGCAACATTCAAATACGAAATATGGTAACTTTTTTGATTAATCTCAAAACTTTGTCTAAAAAAAACCACATAAAAAATTTCCCTAAAACATTCTGGGATATTATTTATCCTTAATCCTATCACTAACCCTTACTAAGATGTCAAAATGTAAATTACATATATAGTATGAATTGCGATAGTAAATTCACAAATTGGATGTGGACATTTAAAACTAAATAATCACCAAAATAGATTTGATTACGTAAGAATCAAATTTTATCATCTACGTACGTACAATACAAAAAGCTCAAAGACATTTTAACAAACCAGAAAAAAACAATCATAGCATTTATTACCATTCTACAAATTCTATGAAAAGACCAATAATTGCGATAAGAATGGATTGAAATGCTTAAACAATTTCGGTCGTAACTATTGTCATAATAAAGAGTATAATCGTCATAATCATTAAAATAAATATTCAATCGTCATGATCTAAAAAAACCTGCCCGTATTGGTGTTTATGTCAGGAAAATTTGCCTTTTTTATTATTAAAAAAAAAAATTTAATTTACAACAATATGGGCGGAGCATATTCGAATAATTAATTGTAAAATGCTTCCTTTTTAATAAAACAAGAACACCGGAAAAATCGGAATAATTGACAAATTGGACAAATTGGAAATTTTGGAAAATTGGAATAACGGAATAAATGGAAAAATTGGAATAATCAAACTTGCAAAATAGCGTAATTTTTTCATAGTTTCGGTAAAAAGTTAGCCAAATTGAGTTATAAAATAAATGTGCGATATTTCTAATCGAACGACACTGTGACCACTCATGTAATGCAATTTATAAATTTCGTGACATAATACCAGCGTTAGGTAACTGTTCTATTTTTACATCAAAATGTCAACGCAAAAAATAACGAGAAATGAAATTCATGATTATAAGTATCTACATGTAAAATGGAAAGTTTCTGAATTGTATACTGGTCACGTGATAGAGTGTACTTTTAAATGTTGAGGGATGTTTTTCCAGAAATTAAAATAAATCAAAAATCCGAGCAGGCAATTAATTTTGCTATTAATGTTATTAGTGATTATTGTTTATTAATACAATTGTAATGGTTCTATATACATGCTAATTGTCTTATGCTTATATTCTAATTGTCTTGTGCTTACTGTAAATTATTCTTAACTACAAAAATCGAAATTTCAAAACTCGAAATATAAAAATTTGAAATTACAAAATCGAAATTGAAACTACAAAAATTAAAATTACAAAATCGAAATTGGAACTACAAAAGTCGAAATTATAAACCAAAAAATAAAATTGTAATTCTATTACAATTGATCAAACATCCCACATTCGAAGTGGAAGATATCGAAGAAATAAAAAACGATAGTGATAGGTTTTCACGGTTGTGTTTGTGTTTGCCATTTAATTTTTTTTACATTACAATCATAATATTCGTTTTGCCAATTTCCGTTTGTTATTCGTTTTGCCAATTTGCGTTTGGTATTCAGTTTGCCAATTTACAATGTTCGTTTCATCACACAACTAGCCTTCTTACAATCATAATATTCGTTTTGCCAATTTCCGTTTGTTATTCGTTTTGCCAATTTGCGTTTGGTATTCAGCTTGCCAATTTACAATGTTCGTTTCATCACACGACTAGCCTTCTTAAAGAAAGCTAGGACGAAAAATCATTATGTGTCATAGGTGGAAGAGTTGCCGTAGGCAGAGGTGGAGTGGGTGGTCTAAAAGGTATCCGTCTACGTCGTGGCCGTAGCCTTACGGGAGGAACCAGAGGTAAAGAAATATTATGAATGTTCCTGTTACGTACTTGTACCTGTCTAGACATTTTGGATTTTCGTCTTGGAACTTAATAGTAACTGTCAGCGTTGTCGCTGGAAGTAATTTTTAACACTGAACAGTAGCTACTTTTATATAGTTTTTCGGAACAATTTTTGAAACAAATAATTCCGTCATTCGTGCTTTTAGAATTCCTTATACACCAAATATAAGTATCATACGATCCTAGTCTAATATTTCCGTTTTTCCGTCTTTAATCGTTTTAGCTGCGCTTTCTTTTAAGAATGTACAGTCAAATGATAGTGGTTTATAAATAGGTAACACGTACATACGTACGTCAAATGTTGTCATATAATTATATCACAATATCACATTAATTAATTAATTTTTTTTTATCAAGATTTGATAAGCAATCCCCCTTTCGTACACAAAGAACATTTCTTTCATTCACAGTTGCGGCTATCATAAATGGTGTTTCATAATTTCCTATTAGTATATTCTCTTTAAGAAAACAGTAAAATGAATAATGATCCGGAAATTGCCGTTGAAGAGTATCAAACAGATGCTTTATACGTAGAACAGGAGAAGGAGGGGCTACTAACCGGAGAGGAAGTGCCATCCCAAGAAAATCCAGTTGAGGTTAGATCACGACCCTGTAAAAGACGATGCTGTCTTTAAAATTTATTAACAAACTTTGTTTGTTATTTGAATTTATAATAGGCTCGTTATATGTTCTTTCTCCGGATTGTTATGATAGTTATTCTGCTTACAATACTTACGGGCACGATCCTTTTAGCAATTTATTCACCTCGAGATCCTAAACCACTGATGACTCCAACCTTCTTTAACGGATCCCATGATTTTTATCCAACCGTACTTTTAGTATCCTTCGACGGATTTAGAGCTGATTACCTGGATAGGAATATTACCCCTACGCTGAATAAATTTAGTAAGCCTAATTAATTCTCTTTTTGGTTTCAACTTTATTGGATTTATTTATTGGATTTATTCAATTTTCATTACAGTTCAAAATGGTATTAAAGCTGAATACATGATGCCATCATTTCCGGTGTGCAAAAAATTTTTTAATTATTATTTTTTTTTTTTTAAGTTAAAAAGCTATTTATTAATTTTTTAATTATTCTTTTAATTATTCATTTAATTTATCAATTTCTTAATTATTTATATTTATATTATCTTTCTTATAACAGTCTGTGACATTTCCTAATCACTATACAATTGTTACGGGTCTTTATCCTGAATCTCATGGAATTGTTGGAAATGAATTTTATGATCCTGATCTTGATGACGATTTTTATTATACTAATCCTAATAAAAGTTGGGATTCAAAATGGTGGGGTGGTGAACCGGTTAGTTCTTCTATTATTTATTGTTATCATTAGTTGTGTAGAAGTCATTATGTATATTTTCGTAATTAAGTTACGACAACTCGTTTGCTAATTTTTATAGATTTGGATAACTGCTGTAAAACAAGGCCAGAAATCTGGTGTATCACAATGGGTCGGAACTTCCTCTGTCATTAAAGGACATATTCCAACTTATCATTATCCTTATCTTCCTAATGTTACTATTGATGAAAAGGTCGGTCAAATAATGAATTGGTTGGATCTTCCGTTAGATGAAAGACCAACATTCCTCGCTGCTTATGCAAGTGAAGTTGATACTGCTGGTCACAAATTTGGTCCTGACTCTGTAGGCGTAAATGATTCTCTTAAATATGTTGATAATTTTGCGCTTGGCCTTTGGGAAGGTTTAGTTCATAGAAATTTATCTGATATTGTCAATATTATAATCGTTAGTATTTTAAAATTTTATTTGATTTTATTTTCCATTTTATTATTTATTAACTTCTTATTATTTAGGTTAGTGATCACGGAATGGCGCAAACCGTTTCTAGTAATCAAATTTTTTTAGACAATGTTTTCAATGTTTCAAAAGTTCGTCCATTAGAATGTAGACCATTGGCTGGAATTCGTCCTTATAACGACTCTGATATTAATGATATATATTTATCTTTGAAAGATGCGAGTCAAAATCAGCCTTGGCAATGTTATCTTCGTGACGAAATACCTGAACGTTTTCATTTTCGTGCTTCTCATCGTATAGCTCCAATTTTTTGTATTCCTCCTGTAGGATGGATTCTCTCCACTCATCGTGATTTTGGTAAATCATCTCCAAAAGGAACTCATGGTTATGATAATCTTGAACCTGAAATGAGAGGAATATTTCTAGCTTCAGGTCCTGTATTCAAGGAAATAGCTTCGAAAAAAAAGACGAATATAGTAAAAGGTTTTTTTAATTTCGAAGTTTATAATATAGTGGCAAAAATTTTGGGGTTAACTCCCGCTGAAAACAATGGCACTGTTGGTGGAATCTTTTGGAATGATTAATTTAAAAAAAAAAAAATAGATTTTTGGTTCCTTTACATGAAATATTACAGCATATTCGCAAGTAATGTGTATATATAGGAATTACATAACTTGAAGTTTAATAAAAAAAATTAATTTAATGCTAATACCGGGTATGTTATAAACACGTGATAAATACATTGTTATACGTTCTTGGTTTGAATATAAAGTTTAATGAGACAAAATAATACACGGAAAAAAAGCAACTACCAAATTAGGTTTTTAAGCTGATTACAAATATCGATATATATAATTATAGATTAAAAACGTAGAATACTACGGTTAACGGAAATCGGCTCCGTTATCTTGTTGGCTTTAATTATAGGTTATGACCTTATGACCTGTTATGACATTCTATTATATTACGTTATGACCATCTTGGTCAAATAAATTTTGATATGACCTAAAATGGTCAACACTTATCACAGCACTATGGACTATATTGGGTTAATGATTTACTAAATTGGGCCCAAGACCGGATTGATAAAGTTTCAGATTTCGGCCGACATTTGTAACTTTAAAATTATCAAAAAATCTTTCAATTGTCACATAATTAATGTAATGATAAAAATTAAATAAGTGAACGGAAAAAAAAGTCCGTTATACATATGTCCTTTTTACTATTGAATCTCCGTAATTGTTTTAAATCTATTAAAAATTCGGACTCGTTAAAGCGATTGATCTGGTTTATTTCGATAGTTGGGGAAACCCTAATTTCTCCCAAGTTCTGATTGGATCATGCAAATACCGTTTTTTGATTGGACAAAATATATTACAAGATCTGGTGTAACGTAAAATTGAAAGTTTCAAATTTTGCCCATGAAACTACCTTCGTGTTCTAATAATTCAATATGTTCCACTCAACCTTAATACTAACTACACTAATACGTTTTATTATTTAAAATACACGTCGTACTTTGAAAATTTTAATAGTATCTGATCGAAAGTCTGATGTAATCCATTTCGTCTAATTAGAGACTAGGTGTCCAATAAGAACTTGGGGAAAAATTAATAAATCCCGATACAGTACTGCATTAGTTAGCTGTAATGCCTTGACTTTAGACTATTCCCGCATCAGACATACATCTGGCATGTAAGCACGTACGTACTTAATAAAAAACTAACGTAGTTTCAATCGTAGATTTATGTATGTCGACTTATCGGCTCTATTGACCACATAATTAGCTTTATTATAATGCAAGCCAATTCGGTCGTTTTGCATTGGTTTAATTTATCATAATGGCGCAGCATTTGCGGTGGGCGTATGTTTAGGTTAAGATTATTAATAAATATCTAATAATTAAGTTCTAAATTTAAAAAAGAGCGGAGATAAATCATGTGACTATCGTCCAATCAAGTTATAGAAAATGTTGTAGAAAAAAAAGCTATCGACTTGTCTAATCAATAATCGTAGCTATATATTAAAAATTAAAGTTTACTAAGTCAATTAATATTTATGCCTTAAGTAAATTTGTTCGGGATATTAAATCGCGTGTATTTTGAAATTTTACTTTCGCATATTATGTTTACACGAAACAATTTAAATTTTTTTTATATAAATGTAAGGTGCGGAAATGAATTAATAAAAAGTTATTCGATTTATATAAAAATTTCAGAACATATGCAATTTATTATCCTGAATAACTTTACTTAAGGTATAAATATTTATTGATTTAGTAAAATTTTGATTTGGATATATAGCTATATATTTTTATAAAACTTGATAGCCAATTTTGATTGGTTAAAAAGTATTAGAATATTAACTAATATATGTTAAGTATGTATTTTTATAACACTTGATAGCCAATTCTGATTGGTTAAAAGGTATTAGAATATTAACTAACATATGTTAAGTGATTTTCTAAGATTATTTTGGTCTTGAAATAACAAATGACTAGTTATTTGTCATTTGAATCATTTTAGGTTATTTATTATCCTTAACACCAACTTTAATTTATAGTGGTTCTAATTCTAAAGTTAATTCAATAAAATATTAATTTAGATGTTTTCTAAAAAAAGTATGATATTATATTATTTGTATTACTTAGTCATATAATATGACAATTATTAAATCTTTTTAAAATATTTATAATTTAAAGTATTATATAATAGGTTTGGATCCTGTAGCTTATTGGTTAAGCTTTTAAACTCTTACAGACAAGGCTGATAGTTCAAGCCAAGCTAGAAGCAAATTGTATAATTTGTTTCTGTAATCTTTAGGGGTCATAATTAAATGCAGAGCCTTGTAATTAAGTTCAAATATAGGTATAAAGTTAGAATATAAATTTCTAGAAGAAGACCCAAATATGAAGAGTAAGTATTATATATAATTGCAGTGTTACAGAAGATTGTGGTTATAAAGATTATGTGTATAAGTTCTTAAGAGATGAGATAGCACCAATATCCTTATATTTCCAGATTTGAAAGTATTAATATTCCTATACCCAACTTGTAAGATACTTGCTTAGAAGGATAGTTAATAGATTGCATGAATAAGTCTTTATCTAAAAAAAATATATATATACTTGCTTGAGAGAGTGATTAGCATAATCAAAAAGTTGAAAGTAGTAAGAAAAGTGGTAAATATGTAAATAGTCTTGATAAAAGATTAGTTTATCAAAATCAGAAATATCACTAGTAATACAAAATAAAATACTATAAAAGATAAAAATTATAAAAATTATTTGATATTCTGTATATAGAATAATAATAACTAAAAATAAATAAAATAATATTAATAAAATCTACTATAAAAATCTACTTTGTAATATTTTTCTTCTTTTAAATTTTTACTTTATAAAAATCTTTTAATATTTATACTATTCAATAGTATTAAACAATTGGTAAATCTTTTTCTAGACTTGTAACTCGCTTGCAGTTGCAAGTATAGTAATAAAAAAATCTAGCTAGAGATTATACAAATTAACTTGGTTTTAATTTGGTTAAGAGAATTATTATTGTTTGTAGTAGCTGCATATGATTAATTTAAATTAAAAATAAAGTTTATACTCAAAAAGTTATCTAAAATTGTTTTAAGTTATTGCAATTGTTTATACAACTTCTGCAGTTTACAAGTCTTGCTTGTTTTTTGTTTTTTGCTTTTCTCATATAGTATGTATGTATTGTCTTTTAAAAATATCAAACAAGTTTTTGTTTATTTGATCTTATATTTGTATTTATTTTTGTTTTAGTTTTTTAAAACTATTTCTTTACTAGTTTATAAAGTTTCTAAAAATAAAAATTTTTATAATATTCTATCAATAACAAATTCTTTATTTGCTTTTTCCTTTTAAAATATGAGGTTTCCAAACTTAATATGCTAATTTGTTTAAAATTAGCTTCTATTTGTTTTAATTGTTTGTCTATTTTTGTTTTGGTAATTATATTGTTGCTTATAATTGTTTTTTTGCATAAATTTGTTATTTTTCTTTATAGCTAATTAAGTTTTTCTGTTGTTTATTTACTTGATTTTTAGCATTATTGTATCTTAAAAATTTTTACTACAGCTTTTAGTTTTTATCTTTCTTTGTTTTTCTTTTTTCTTGTTTTTACAATTTTTCTAATATTTTGTTTTTTTTTCTTGTAGTTTTATTAAAAAACTTTTGTCTTTTCTTATCGTTTTTCTTGTTATTTATCTTGCCATCATTTTAAAAGATATGTATACTTGTTCTGGCCATACACTAAATTTTATCTTATTAGGCACTTGGGGCTTGGCCAGTCTTCTACTTTGGTATACTATGTATTTAGTCTAAGTAGATATTTTTTCTTATATATTTTCTTTTTTGCTTCAATACTTATAGTCTTTTATGCAAGTAGAATAGAAACTTATCTCTATTGATATTGATCTTGCTTGTTGTATTCTTAGAATAAGGGTTTTTTTAATTATTTTTTTTATCATTTTTCAAGTTTATATACTTAGTAGTTTTTAATTAAGTTTGTGTCTTTAGATATTTTAATATAAAAAAAAAGTTCAGTTTATGGTCATTTGGTTACTTTGAAAATAGAAGTAACTGCAAGAAATCTTTTAGTATTAGAAGTGGCAAGAGAAAGATTTTTTCAAGAAACTCAGCTTTGAAAGATTATTACTAAAAAAGGTAGATAGAAATTCAAGTATTGAATTTAGAAATTTAAGTTAAAGAATTAAGGAATAGAATAAGAAAATATAAAAATAGAAATTATTTTTGTAATATTTTGTAAATAGTTAATAAAATTTTTAAATTTAATTCTAATAATAATTGTAAGAAAATATTAAAATTAATAATATTTGTTTTTTTTTTTTGGTTTTAAGGTAAGGCCTTGTTCGTATCTTTATTAGTAATTTTGGAATAGTTACAATATAAATTGCTATAATGCAGTTAAAAAAATAACTACTAGATATAGAAATTTACAAAGCTACTATGGTGCGGGACATCTAAAGGTGGAAGTCATGTGACTTGTCCCATTTTACCTTAAAATTTAAAAAAGTCTCAAATCATTCAAAAAACTAGTTTTCACATAAGCAAAATGCAGATCACATGACAATGGCAAAATAGAGTTTGAACTAGCATAGTGGCTTAATTCTGATTGGTCAATCAATAAAATATTGGTAAAGAACATGTATATAAATTCAGATATTACACTTCACGTTCTATAACATTAAAATAATCCAAAAAAAGGTTGAATAATCCAGTGGTTAGTGACGGGGTGCACTTTTTATTTTATAGATCAAGGTAATTCAGTAATTAGAGTAAGGT